TTACAAATTTTTAATAAAATGTTGGTCTCTGGCCTTGAGAAATTTATGGGAGATCACCTTGGTTAGACTTAATCATTCCAATTTTCACTATATTTTGATTTATATATAATATTTAATAATTTTTAATGATTTTAATTAATCTCTAAATTAATTATGGGTTAACTTGCTTTAGTTTTATTCTTCCTTTATTTTCTTTATTTTATTGAGTTCTTAGGATTTATTTTGTATTATAGGATTTTTATGTATCTATTTATGAATTTTTAAAGTTTAATTTTATTGAGTTCTGATTTTTTTTAAAAAAAATTTTTTTAGTTTAATTTTCATGGTTTTAATGGATTTTGAATTTTGATTTGATTTAATTTTGATTGTTTTAACTTTGGTGAATTTATTTAATCTTAATTTTGATTAATATTTGGAGTTTATAATTATAATAGATTTGTTTATATTTAACTTTATTTTGAATGTGATTTTTGGTGGACTTGATGATTCCATTTATCTTTGGTTTTCCGTTGACTTTAGTTTTATTTGGTGGTCTCAATTTTGTGATTTTAATTTGGTTGAATTTTGACTTTGACTTTCTAATTTTACTTTGTTGTTTAATTTGAGAATTATAGTGATGTGTGATTTTGTTTTAATTTTGACTTAGGTCAATTGGATCTTCAATTTTGATGGTTGCGTCGATTTTAATTTTCCTATCTTTTTTTTAATTTTCACTTTGTTAACTTTAAAATTATTGGTTTGGACTTTAATTACAATTTTAAATGACTTTATTTTAATTTTGATTTTACTTTGAAGTTTTAATAGGTTTCAGTTTTAATTTATATTTGATTTGATAATTTAATATTTTATATTTTGAACATTTCAATTTTGTGATTTTACTTTGATGAATTTATTTTTTATAATTTTGGTAAATTCACTTTTTTTGAATTTAATTTTTACTTTGGTGAATTTATTTTAATTTTAATTTTTTTTTTTGAAGTGTTAATGAGTTTTGATTTTGATTGTAATTTTGGGACAATTTTCATATAAATTGAACTTCATATGATATTGGTTTGATTTGGTGATTTTTATTTTATCTTCTCTACTATTAAAAAATTAACCCTATCTCAGTTTAAAATGAACCTCATACCCAATGGGCTCTTTGTGAACTAAAGAAAAAGTTATCTAAGCAGTTAGGAGAAGGGAGGTGCAAAGTACCCAGTATGAGAGAGAAAAATATAAGGACTCAACCTAAGTTTCAAGAACTTAACTTTAATCATCCCAACCAAAAGTTAAGGATTTGAAGCTACATATATGAAACTATAAAAATTGAAGAGATGTTTTAAAGTCCTAACTTGGTAGCCATTTTAAGAGAGCCATGAATGTAACTCTAAGGCTACATCATAAGCTTTAGAGAGAGAGGACAAAATAGACCTCATGTAAATATGATGACAACTGATGTGTAATCAACAAATATTTTTCATCTGCCACAAAATTAGTGCATTTTTTAGTAATGAACACTCTAGATTCAAATTCTATATCCAACCCTAATTTTAGAAATTTTATATTAAACTGGTTGTCTTGACAAGACAAACTTGATGATGTCAAAGTTGGGTCAATCCAAATCAAATTAAGCCCATATCAAACCACTAAAGCATATTTGGAGCCTTTATATCATTAATTGAATGATTTAAAGAACTCTAAGTTTGACATACTTATAGTCAAATTGAGCCTTTTGAGAAGAGGAAGTCAATGGGCATAGGCTCGCTTAATTCTAAAATAAGGCCATCAATTTATTAAAAAAACCTATAATTAAGGGAGATAAATATGTGTCATCCAATCTTATGATTACAGAGTTATTAGCCAAAGAACCAAAATGCTCCTCCCCTAGAAGACACAAATAAACACCCTATCTTCACTTGATAGAGGAGGAGAAGGAATTGAATTTTCGTTATATTCTAAACCAAAAACCCGATGATAACTTTTGGCTTCCATTATCACGTACCACTATCAACCATAACCCACCCCCCCGCCGCCAACCACCACGGGACGCCCCTGTTCACAACCATTCATGAACTCTATTTGCTAATGATGTATCTAAAATATTTTGTAACTAATAATGTTGTATTGAAAACCCGACGATAACTTTTTACCTTCATAGTCGCATCCGACCCTTGCTTGCTAAGGTCGTATCTTAAATATGAATGTAATGTATAATGACACATTGAAGATCCTCCAGCCTCCATAACTATCGATGACCCTTACTTGAAGAGCCAGCGATAATCTCCGACCTCTGTAACCACTAACCACCATCGATCACCGCAATCGTCACTACCGGTCGCCGCCAACTACTGGCTACTGGTGACCACTGCTTACAATCTTTATAGCCCAAATAAGAAAGTTATTACGAGTATATGTATTTTGCTTTAAACTGTATAAACATAAATATAGTGTTCAATATAAATTTGTAACCATGTTCTCTCTAAAAGAAGGGGTCCATACGTTAATTACGACCCATATGGCCAACAAACGCCACTACAACTTCCAAATATGGCCTTTGTGGCCAAGTGACAATATTATAATCACGAACTACGACCTTTGTGACGAAATGATGTTATTGTAGTCATCAGTTGTGGCCTTTATGGACAATTATTGTTATTACATTCACCAAATATGACCTTTGTGGCCAACTAAAGCTCCTATAGCTTCAAACTATGAACTCTATGACCAACAGATGCTATTTCAATAACCAACTACAACATCTAAGGCCAAGGATACTATTACAACTTCCAACTACAACTTTTTTGTCAACCACCGCCTACAGCATCTGTGACCAACTGTTGTTATTGCAACTGCTGACTACAGCCTTTTTGACAAACTACTACTTTTACAGCAACCAACTATGAACTTTCTTGCTAATTATTTCAATTATAGTCAATACTACATTTTTTGTAGCCTGATTATGGCTATTATAGCTAAAATACTATTGTGCATATGTGATTATCGGCTTTGTTATTTCATCTTCTCTAATTTAGTAGAGGATTTGACCTATGTACTTACAATTGCATAGTCGATTACTTTGACTTGGTTAGGCTTTGGTTTTTTTCCCTTTCCAAAATTTTTCCATATAAAAAAGCTTAGAGTCTCCTGTTGTCACCTTTCAATTATCTATATGTGTGTACGATGGATCTTCGTGTAACAACAATATTTTAAATTATCACTCTACTACTGTGAATCTTCTGTCATGTAACAACTACAATCATAATTCCGTTATTAAATTTTATCGACTTAATTCCTTCTAATTATGTTTTAAACTTTACTATTCTCTTATAGTCCATGTTAGTTGATGTATCATCAATTTGATCCATCTATTTAAAATAATTATAATAATCTTCCTATCAATTTCTTAAACATCTGTAAGATCGCATTTCACCATTCTAACTTCTATAACAGGTTAATTACAGGCATATTAAGTTGCATCTACAATAGACGATATTATATTTAACCTCTCTTAAAGTTGATGAATGACTTAAACTCGTCTTAAGAAATATGCACCTAATGGTATCAAATACAATGGTCAAGCCTTAATAATAAAACAAAATAATGGCTAGCAATAGGCTTAAAATCATAAGTTCCCTTCAACCACAAATGGTCAAGCATGTAAATAAATATATTATAACAAATGATTCAAAATCATGATTGAAATAAAACTTAGTTCGAAAAATTATAATAAGAAACTTATAACCATTATATAAACACGATAATTTGATAACTAATGTTTTTCATATTTAAAATCATTAATGATAAATACATATTTCTTCTCATTTGCTAGCTTTCTTAGCTTAAATGATTTTTTTTTCTAAACTCTAATTAAAATAATTAAAAAATAAACTGAAGATAGAAAAAAAAAAGCAAGAGATAAGTTCTGAAAAATAATCAATTGTCTTTTTCCTCAATAATCTTGCATACACTATTTTGAGCGTTCCCTTAATATTTATCTTGTTGGTTATAAAGGAAAACTCTACAAGGGCTATTAGGCTCTAAGTAGGATTTAGTAAATCTTATAACTCCAATTTAATAAATCATGATGTGTTTAAATATTTAAAATTATTTAGTACGACATATATCAGAGATGTTAAATTCTCTAAAATTATTTGATAACTTATCATTGAAATATAAATGTAATATTATATTGTATACTCAAAAATAGTTTGCATGGATTTCAATGCAACCCAATAGTTGGTCACCTCACTTCAGTCGATCGACTAAGCTCTCTCCCTCGACCACCTCATTTCAGTCGGTCGACCAACTCTCTCCTTAGGCCATCCTTCCTCCAACGAGTATCAATAAGTCGGCTTCATTTGGCAGGCCAACCCATCTCAGTCGCCGAACATTCTTCGGTCAGCCGGATAACCACGTTAAAGCAACAATCATTTTAAGGAAACTCATATATAAACCACTTAATTTCTTATTTATTAAGTTATTTTCTATTGGTAAATGTGAACAAAACATAAATATTCACCCACTTTATACTGACTGTATCCAAGAAGAGTATAAAATATATAAACTGTCACATAAGGTTATAAAATAGATAAAGGTGGAGCTGCAAGGCCAAGTCAAATAAACATGGACATGAACATCGGCATCGATGGCAAAACGATCAACGATCAAAATAAGAAGGCCTAAAATGTCATTTGCTTCTCTCTTTCAAAACAAGGTTAAATATGTAATTTTTTATACTTTCAAGGTGGTGGAATGCTTATAATATACATGTGTATTGTAGAATATTATGATTTATTTACAATTAGAAATTCTATTCGTTAAAGCACATATTTTTACGGATAATAACATGGTATTTACGAAATTAACACTCCTATTATCATTTACATGATTTCACTAAAATGTTAATTTTTTAAATTAAATGCAAACCCAAATTAATCTTTTAATTTTTTAAATTTACGGATCTGCGCCGCCACGTTGCTATCTCTAACCGTTTAATCCACTTTTCCGTCACCGCTAATTTTTCTAACAAACCGGCTTCATTTGTAAATAACAAATTTCGGGTGGTTTGTATGTAATTCTCACCTTCCACGATTGAACCCCACATGAACGTCGAGTATTTCCGCCTGGCACTTCTTACCTTTCCCTGTTCTTCTTCTTCCTCTGCTAAGCTTTTCTCTCCCACCCTATCGTGCTCGTCCAACGAAGCTCTTAAAGAATTTTCAGATTGCAGCGGAATCGGTTCTCAAATGGTGTCTTCCGCAAGCCATGGAGTGACAGACGGGCGCCGGTTAGAGCTAGCCAGCGACGGGGAGATAAGACCCAAACGCTCCCTTGTGAGACCGTCACGTTTTCACGACTTTTTTTTTCCGACGATGAACTGGAGCGGTTAACCGTTTCTACGTTGTGTGAACCCAATCTCGAGGGGCGGTGGTTCGGGTGATCGATCGACTCATCCGGATACCCAAATAGAGCCCCGAGGAGAGAGGAAAGCTTATTATTCTCCTGTTACTGCTCTTCCCATGTCGTCTCATGCTGGAGGAAAGAAGGAAAAGGAGGTGGAGCAGGACAATGCTCCTTCTACCGCTGCAGAAGAGGCTGTTGCTGCATCGGTGGCTTGTCCATGGAATTCGAGGAAAAGAAGAGCTGCGTGTCAAGCTCCATTGGAGAACGAAAGGAATAAGTACAATTGCTCATCACATTCTATTCCGCCATTGGGTAAATCCGTTATGCGAAGTTCCGCGGTCGGCGAAAATGGCTGGCGGAAGAAGTTTTCTATTTCGTTATCTCGAGCGGAGATCGAGGAGGACTTTTTGGTGTTCAAGGGGACGAAGCCCAGTCGAAGACCTAAAAAGAGACCCAAGGTCATCCAGAGACAACTCGATGTAAGTGGAAATTCCATATTTTGAGCCCATAATTATTATTCTTAGTTGTGGTGGTTGCAATTTTGATTGTATTTGGATTAATTTTGATCTCTAATTTTGAATTTATGTTCGTTGTTGTAGGACTTATTTCCTGGCGTATGGCTGTCGGAGATTAATGCAAACATGTATAAAGTAGATTAATGAGTTGATTCTTTATTTTTCTTTTTCATAGTTCTGCCAGATTTTTTCATATTTCTACCAGAAAGTTTGAATCAACAAGAGGGGGTATGACATTAGGCATTGTTAGAGTGGAGGTTCTTAAGAATTTTAAGATTCCATAGTTATTGTTATTTTGTAGCTTCAGTTCGAATCCCACTTCAGTTTACGACATTTGTCCGTAAATTTCTTCATATGTAAATTTCTTAGTATGAATATATAAGATTATAAATTGCAATTTTATCTTCTCTTATTTTTTACTTAATTTCATTTGTTACTTTTGAAGTCTCTTATTTTCCTTAATAGTCTTATCATGGAAAAAAGTTCGTCTGCGTGTAGAGTTTTTGTAATTCATAATGCTCGGGGATTTAATTTATATTAATGATTTCATACTGGTCTTCGATATGTGGAAACTGGCATTAGAATCGTCATGACAGTAAAAAGATGCCAACTTATTTTCATTCGCTTTTGTAGTTTTTTTAATTATTATTATTTTTTTATTAATCACTAATTTGAAAGAAAATTACAAAATTTTAAAAAATTGTTGGTCTTTTACCTTGAGAAATTTATGGGAGATCACCATGGTTAGACTTAGGGTCCGTTTTGGGCAGCTTTTTTCGAGCGGCGCGACCCGAAACCGTGAACATCTATTGTTTGTCTCTCAACTTCGCGGTCGGACGACGCGAAAGCGGGCGAAAATCGATTCTGATATTGAAATTGAGTGGGGGTTCCCATGTGGAGCTTCCCAACTTAAAAGAAAAGGTTTGAATTAAAGATTCTGAGAAATTTTGTTAGGGATTACCAGATATATTTTCAATTTGTTGCTATCAATTTGAGTTTTTACATGTCGATTTGATTTGTTTTTATTTTTTTAATTTTTTGATTTTGTGGGTGTTTTGATTTTGTGTTTGTGAAATTTTTATCTTTGTGTGTCAATTTCCATTCTGATTGATTTGTCGAGAAATTCGTGGAAAGATGTTTGAAAAATATGTGGAAATGTTGAGAAATTTTGTGGGAGTTGGAATCCTTTCAACAACCCCAAAATGTCATGTGTGTGGGAATCAAAAACCTTACTTAGACCCCAGAATGTCATGTGTGTGGGAGTCAAAATCCTTACTGAGAGTTAGATTCATTATGATTGAACTATTGCTATAGGAAGAGATCCTAAAGCAATGCAGAATTAGATGACTTGATTCTCAACCTCTAAAATTTTGATATGAACCATTGCAATAGGAGGGATCCTAAAACAATGTTGAATCGGATGCTTTGATCATCAACCTCTAAAATTTGATATGAACTATAATGATATGAGGGGTTCCCAAAATAATGTGGAATCAGATGTCTTAATCCTCAACCTTTAAATTTTAATATGAACTATTGCGATAGGAGGAGTTCCTAAAGGAATGTGTAATAGGATGCCTTGATACTCAACCAATAAATTTTGATACGAACCATTGCGATATGAGGGGTTCCAAATGTAATGCAAAATCAGATGTCTTGATCCTTAACCTCTAAAATTTGATATGAACTATTATGATATAATAGGTTCCTAAAACAATGCGGAATGAGATGCCTTGATTCTCAAACTCTAAATTTTGATATGAATCATTGCGATAGAAGGGAATCTTAAAGCAATGCTAAATAGGATGCCTTGATCCTCAAACTCCAAATTTTGATATGAACCATTACGATAGAAACAAATCATAAATTAATGCGGAATCAGATATCTTAATCCTCAACCTCTAAGATTTGATTTTGTAGATTTGTTGAAAAATTTGTGTAAACTTATTGGTTTGTGAAGATTTTGAATTTGTGAAAATTGTGAATGCAAAGATTATGGAGAGATTTGCAGAGTTTATGCAATGCAGAATGCTGTGAAAATTGTGAGTGCAAGGATTTACGGAACTTTCGTGAGTGTGCAAAGATTCATGAAAATTTAAGTAATGCAAATTTTTTTGGAAATTTTATCTAAAGATTTGTGAAATTTTAAATAATGCAAATTTTTTTGGGAATTTATGGAGATTGTAAGATCAAGGAAAGTAGTTGTAGAAAGGAATTGGATTGAGAAGAAATGTCAGGGGCTCACCTCAAAATCAAGGGCTGATCAAATAAATGTTTGTGTAAAATAAGTTGCAGTTTCATATCAAATAAACTGCAAACCCTTATTCACACAAGGAAAAAGACAAAGAAGAGTGGTGGTTCTATGTAGATAGAACCAGCTAGCCTCTTTCACACGATGAAGAGGACTCAAAGTTCCTGTGGAAGGAAACTTTAGGCTAAGAGAGATGAAATAACATAAATATAGTCTTGCATTAAACTTGGGCTAATTTAGCGTAGTTCAATTGTAAACTAGGTCGGTATGCGTTGACCTGAGTAGGCTAAGATTTGATATGAATTGACTCGGATTGACTTGGGCTGAACCATGTAGGTTTGGCTTTGGTTTTTTTTACCAGGTTGACTTGGGTTGACCAGAGTAGATTTGGGTTTGGCTAGGTTTAACATGGGTTGACTTGGGTCAACCCGCGTAGGTTTATGTTTGGTTTCATTGGGTTTAACCATCAAATTACCCTCTTTTTTTTGAGAAAATTCCTTAGGTCCATAGAGATTTTTGAAATTTTCCGAAAGTTTTTTTGGGCAAATTTTGGGTTTTCTCTAAATTTGGTCGAAATTACATAATTATCATAATATTGGGGTCAGCTAGTGTAATAAACCCTTAAAGCCACTTCTAATTCTTAAATCAATGAGCCTAAAATGCAACTAAGTTGTCGTTGAATTCAAATCGTGGTTCATTGGCTCTAATAGGGTTTGAGTGGCTTAAACCCCAATGAATGACCTAAATAATCTTAGTTAAATTTACTCATTATTTAACATAACCATAATTAAACTCTAAAACCTTAAAACACTTAAAATATAATTCCACAAATCACACTAAAATAAAACAATGTCAATCCTAACCTAATAAACCCTTAAATATAAAGTTAGATAAATATTATTTAACATTTGAATTTTTTAAATTAATATATTTCATTAATTAAAAATACCCAAATTTAATTCTAAGTTCTAATTTATAATTCAAAGCAACATAGAAATTTTCTTAGATGTGTACGATCTCATTCTGAACATTCTAAAAATTTTATAAAAAATTAAATAGATTTTAATGATTTAATAAATTTATTTAATCAAGAAACTAAAATAAAAATAAAAATAAATTAAATTAATTTCAAAATTTTCCCAAAAATCTTTTGAGGTGTCTCCTCAAAAGATATCGATGATATCTCCTGTTGGACTGAACTTTTTACAATAAGGTTATGGAGCCCTCGTAGCCCTTCCTATAATTTTTTCAAAATTTTTTTGATATAAAATTTAGTTTTATTAAATCAATTTAAAACATTAATTAAAGTTAAAAAATTAAAATTAATTGAATAAATTCCTAAATTATCTAAAATTAATATTATGGTATCCCTTGATTCTAGAAGATATTTTCTTAATGTTTGAGAAATAATTATGATTTAAATTTGAATATTTCTTGTGTTAAATATGAATGTTTAATATTTAGCTAAATAATGTAACCAAATTCTAATATAAAGGATTAAGCACTTTGACTTCTAAGTTGGATCCAATGTCCATTTTTTAACATGAAGGACTTCTAATTGGAAACGTAAAATTAAAGTAACATTGCTCCTTAGGTGCTTGCTAGTTTATGCCCCCAAATGTAAGTGCGACCAAGTACAAGCGACTTGGTGCATGAACGCACTAGGTCCACTACTAGCAAAGGATAGACTAGAATGATTACTCGACCTCCCAGTATCTGGTGCTCCCTGCTCCTTGTCTGTTGACTTCTGGTAAAAATTGTCTCAGTTCGAGTCAATCCCATTTGAAACTCCAAATAGCAATGTTGAAATCTATCACTGTGATATGAAAAAATAAATAACCACTGTTTAATCGAGAGTTATCCATTTTTAAGATTTAAAAAACTAAGAAACTTGCCTCTCTGGGGATACCAGACTCTGAAATTAAAATAAACCCTATTTTTTTAGTTTGGGTGGGAAAGACTTATGGAACAAAACTTCACAGAGTAGTGAAAAATCACTTCGAGATTGGAATCATCGTAAGGTATTACTTTCGTCACTTTGGGTAAAATACTATCCCATAACGTTTAAGTCGATCACAACAAAAAAATATCAAATCTTTTGCATGTGGTCCCCCTGATGCAAACAAACATAATGTCACAGTGATCAGAGCATAGTTTAAATAGCCCTAAATCATGCAATTACATAGTATTAACATTTTTTAGACATTAATTGAAATGTGAAATAGTATTTGAATATTGCATGCTTATAATCAAACCAGATGTCACGGAAAGAGGTATTTAACGAGTTTAAAATTAATTAAAGTACTTATATTTTGAATGAACACTCTATGATAAAAGAAAACTAAAAGAAAATAACACTAGTTGTTTTTAGCATTTAGATATCATATGATGGTGGTCAGTCCTGTAATGCTTTATGACGCAGAATGTTGGCCTTTAAAAGAGAAGCATAAAAACAAAATTAAGTGTTGTTGAGATGAGAATGCTTATGTGGATGAGCGAGATGAAATGCAAAATGAATCTATCCGTGAAGGGTTGGTTGGTGCAGTTCCGCTGGCAGACAAGTTTATAGAAAGTTATCTTAGATGGTTTGGTAGCATTAAATGTCGATCATCCGATGATCTGATAATGAGAGTAGATATTTGATTAGACTTATAATAAGAAAGATAGAGGGAGACCTAAAAAGATTGAGCATATTGTATAAAAAATGATCTTAATCTATTAGAATTAAATGAAAATATGACACTCAATAGAACACAATGGAGAAAAGGATTAAAAGAAAAATGATCTTAATCTTAATTTTAATGAGGCATGGCTATTGTTAGGGAGATCAGTAGTTAAGATTTAAAAGAAAAAAAAATGCATCACATACAGTTGTGGCAACATCTACAATTTATTTGAAAGTGAATCCAGATAATAACTATTAAGAAATTTACATATATACCACTTTAGTATTATATATTTACATATCCAACACCCAAAATTGGATTTTTACCCATATAACTCATTGATACCATAAATTATCAATTGATATCTAATTACTAGAGACTATATAAATTCTCTAAACTCTAATCTTAATTTCCCTATTTTTGAAGAAGTGTGGACACACACACAAACACAATATTATAGTAATCTAATTATTGTATGTAGTATTAATTTTAAACGAAATTTATATAATTATAAGTCTAATTATTTAAAATTAAATCACCTTTTGCTTGATATACAATCATTAAGAAATTTAATTTTAAACAAAATTGCCACGGTTATCCTACATAACCTTTCCCAGCCGAGAAATGGCCGCTTAATAGGGATGCTTAACATGTCTAAGAGAAAGAACTGTACAACCTAAAATAGTGGGAGGAGAGAGAGAGAATGAGCCGCAAACTCGCAAGTGGAGAAAGCGGGTGGCTTGGCAAGCCGATGCCTACCCTCCGCCTAAATATAAAATCCTTATTGCTTCTCATCTTCTTCCCGTTCAAGCTCCATCCTTCTCCTCGCGGCCACCTCCGTCATTCTCTAACTTCTCCTCCTGTCGCCTCCTCTAATCTCCCATTTCGGTCAGTTATAGCTTCCCAAAAATGGTAATCTCTGCTGAGAATGTTCCTGAGTCGCCGCCAGAGCCTCTCACACCATCTATTTCCTCCACACCACCTTCTCGGCTACGGAATGCGTCCATGTCTGGTCTCCATAACATTGATATCCCGTTTAATATGACTTGGGGAAGGCACCAATTTCTCCGCTGCCTGAACATTAATCGAAGGGGTGAGATTATCACTCACAACCGCAAATCTAATCTAATCGAGACCTCTGCTAATTTGCCTGAACAGGTAAGACTAGATGAAACCCAAGTCAGAATTAGCGATGCCGTCGTGATGACAGATACCACAAATCAGTCTGAACCCAATCACCAATCGGATGATCTTCGAGAACGCGATCATATTCCTCCTTCAATTTCGCCTTTGAGTGTCACCCGGAGAACCAGGAGGGTGCCGATTCTCAAAATCCCTTGCTGCAATGTTTCTCCTCCACCACCAACACCAGCAGCAGCTCCGTTACGGAAGAGCACGGGGAAGAGGTCAGTCCGTCTCCTGTATGACAATGCTTCTCCGCCGCCACCACCACCACCTTTGTTACGGAAGTGTGCGCGGAAGAGGTCCGTCCGTCTCATGTCTGACAATCTGGAGAAGCTGGAGAAGCCAGAGCATTGTCCTAAGATCTCAATTTCTCTCTCACGCAAAGAGATCGAAGAGGACTTCTATACATTGACTGGATTGCCCCCTTGTCGACGCGCTAAGAAGCGACCGAGAGCCATAAAGAAACAGCTTGACGTGAGTTAGTGGCTTTAGCTCAATTAAAAGTCTAACCTTTGTTGTCTCCATATTTTCCCTAACCTGATTCTTCAAATTTTGTGCACAGCAACTGCTCCCTGGCTCGTTGCTGCCGTCCATCACACCATCTAAATATGATGTGCCAGATTAGCCTAATGGCGTTAAGCTTTCTCATCTCTTTTGATGTTCCACGAATGCTGGATTTCTTTCAGGATACATTGAGAGGCCAACCTCCGCTCCTCTTTCAATATTTATATATATGCTAAGTATGCATTAATTGGCTGGTTTTTATGTAAGTAGGTAACGGGCATTGTGCTGATCGATGTCCCTCTTTGGAATTTGCTTTTGTATTCCAAGCTAAAATAGAAAATGCCATCGAACAATGTTTATTTTCTGTGCTTTTTTTATTGTTTATTGCTGCATCAGTGAAGGAAGTTCTCTTTTGATTATCTTTGGTTTGTCATCCCAGAAATACATAACTTTCAAATGAAAATAGAGATATATATTGTTCTGCATAGCTTGAAGATGTTACTCGTGGGTTTGCTTTACTAAAATTAAGCAAATGATTATGGTGGATATTAACTTGCTAATTTTATTTATTAACCGCCGGTCTGACCTAGCAGTAAAGTATTAGGCTTCTTTATGATCTCAGGTTAGTGTGTCGGCACTTTATTTGCTTATTTGCTCGGTTAACGGACTTGGCGTGCCGAGAATCTCAAGATAATTTTCTAATAAATTTAATTTTCAATTAAAAAACATTAAGCATTCCACTTTGAGAGAACGTACAAGCATCATTGTATGTCCAATCTGAATTAAAGCGATCAATTTTGACATCGTTAAAGTAATAAAATGTTTGCAAAATATTGTTCAATCCAAAGAACCACTCTGGGTTGTCCGATAGAGTGAACCCGATTCATTCTTTATTTGCATTAAAACTCACACAGATTCTATATATAAAGCCCTACTCCATTCCTTGAAGAGTGGAGCTAAAATTTGAAATTTAGGAAGTCCAGAGCTTAGAGAAGGAGCTAAATTCTAGTGTTCTTCACTAAAGGTCCAACAAACACCACCCACTTCTGCAATCACCGACCACTGCTTGTCGGTCGTCGGTTGCTCTTTGCTCATCTCAACAAAGTCCCTTGTGGAATCACTACATGCGATATGGAATCCTAATGTATATTGCTGAGTTATGAAACAACCTAAGGAGCAACACACCCCGGAGACAGTATAACAATCCATCTCGAAGAAGGTGTAACAATGCACCATGAAGTTAGTATGGAAATGCCTCAAAGATGATACAACGTGGACCTCTCACACAGTGTAGCAACACGCCATGAAGCTGTATAACGACACACTCTGAAGACTGTGTTACAACATACCTCAAATATAGTATAACACGCATCCTATATACAGTATAACAACACACCCTAAAAATGGTGTAACAACACAACTCGAGTTGGTGTAACAATGCTGCCCAAATATGATGCAACGATGTGCTCACATGCGGTGCAATCGACTCTCTTGGAGTAAGCATCAGTAACTCACATGGCCAACAACTACCTTGATTTTCAACTATGATCTCTATGACAAGCTGGCGCTACAACCACCATCCACAACACTTTCAGTGGTTTACTGCCTCCATAACAATCGACTATGACCTTTGTAGTGTGTTACAACTATTATTATTGAATTAGTGTTGTATATCAAATTTTTAATTTCATTATGCTTAATTTAAAAGAATAGTGGGCATGTCTACTTCCCATGTCATATTGAATTATTTTAACTGGGCTAGGCTCCGTGTTTTTCTCGTTTTAAAATTTTTCACGTAAGAACCTCTAATGCCTTTACCAATCACTTTAATTATCTGAGTGTGTGTTAGATTTTCAAGCAATACTAAGATGCTGAATAATCACTTTACAACCATAAATTTTCTAGGACACATTAATTTGACATCAGTTGTGGGAAAGTCCCATTTGGCATTGTCTTCAAGTCTTAAACATCATGTTCCTACGTTGTTTCCCAATAATATACATCATTTATCTGACGAAAGAACCTCGAAGAAAGCATTAGCTCATCTTTGAAAGGTGTCTACATTGCTTCCTCGAGATTATGGGACTTATGTTAACTTTTAGGCAGACAAATCTCCTCAGATCTTGGAATCTCATAGTGTAGGAAGTCCTCTTTGGAAAGCATAACAATAATGTGAAAAATCTCCTCAAAAAGTGTAACAGTGATGCAAAAAATCTCCTCCAAAATATGCAATAACAACAAAAAAAAATTTCTCCAGAAAGAATGACAGCAACATAAAAAATCTTTTCCGAAAAGTGCATCTGCAACATAAAATATTTCTTTTAAAAAGCACGATGACAACTCAAAAAATCAACTTTAGAAAGTACGACAACATAAAATATTTTCTAGTTGTTATTAATTAATTTTATTATTGCATGTCTTTTTTTTGTGTTTCGTGTTAATTGATTTTGTATTGAAATTTAGAGGGAGATTCAATTTTATTTCATTAATAATTTCATTAAAGAACCTTTTTTATTATCTCATTTTGTCCTTGGATCCAGTTTATAGACAATTGTTCCCTCGGTGCCCCTGAATACAAAGTTTTGTCTTAGGCTCATCTCGACGTGTAATATATCTTTAAATATCATCTGTTTATCAGCAACATCGCTCTTTCACCTTGGCAATCTACGAGTAGGTATGATCCTCCTGAGTAGACATTTTCAGCAACGAATGGTCCTTCCTAGGTTGGCTCAAATTTCCTCCTATCTTGCGATGTGCAAGAATAGGTCTTCGAAGAACCAGGACTAATTCGCCGACTTTGAAAGTTTTTGGGAGGAAGAGCTTATCGTGAGCTCGTATCATATTTGTCTAACACAAATCCAAACTCTGTTGTGCTGACAACCACTTTCCTTCGAGACTCTCTAGTTCATCGAGTCGGAGCTTTGTGTTGCTCTCTGTCATAATTTTGCTTGCCACCGCTACCCTGAGTGACGGGAGTTTACTTCCAATGGAAGCACAACCTCAGACCCATACATTGGAACATATGGTGTAGACTGCGTCGGAGTTCTGACCGTTGTTCAGTACGCCCATAAGGCTTCCAAAAACTTGTCATGTCATTATCACATGTTGTCTCTGCTAATTCATTCACCCCAGAGTATTAGATCATAAAGTATCTCCAATCTATGCCTTGTCGTTGGACAAAATTGCTGACTTTAGAACTTTGAAAGTGGAACCGTTGTCAGAGATAATTCTTTGCGACACGTCAAATCTATATACAATATGATTTTTGTAAAAATGCAGGATGTTCTGCACTGTAACTTCCTTTAGTGACACTACCTTTGCCCACTTAGAAAATTAATATGTTGTTGCATGTATGAACAATTGTTCTTTCAAAGACGGAGGAACTATTGGACCAACGATATATGTGCCCCAATACTCAAAATGTGACAATGCTATTGTCGGTTGTAGCACATTTGGGGGTTGATGTAAGATCATTACGTGTATCTGACATTGGTGGCAATTCCTCACAATCTTCATGCAATCTATTATCATCTCTGGCCAGTAATACCCTAGTCCACTGATCTTTGATTTCATCTTCGGCCCGGACTAGTGAGTTCCACATAGTCCGGAGTGCACCTTTTTGTCGATTTCTTTGGCCTCTACTCCGCTGAGACATTTGAGCTACATTTGGTTGAAGGATCTTCTAGATAGAACATTGTCTACCAAAGCGTAGGACAATGCTCTCTTTTTTATCTGGTGAGTCGTCGACTTGTCATCTAACAGCTTCCCTTTCTGCACATATTCCAAAAACGACTAGCGTCAATTCTCTTTGTCTTTTGTGACTATTATTATTGTTTCTTTCTTCTGTGAGAGGACTTGTCGTCGCTGCACCATTACATCAATGGAATCCTTCTGGAGACAGACAATTTCCTTAGTGAGTCTTGCGAGGGCATCAACAAGAGCGTTCTCTCCACTCAAAATTTTGTATAGTGTCATATTAGGAATTCGATCCAACAGCTTCATCGCATACTCCAGGTACTATTCTAATTTCAGTTTTAGAGTTTTGTATTGTCTGACTTCCTGTTGGAAGATTAACTATGAATCGTCGTAGATGTCGATGACTGTTATATCCATTAATATGGCAAATTCCAGTCCAGTTATCAAAGCTTCTTATTCAACCTCATTATTCGTGCACAGCTCTGTTAAGTGATAGGAATACCACAACATTCCTAGTTCTAATGTGATGAAGATTAAACCAACTCTTGATTTGCCAAGTACCACTGCTTGTGAGTCCTATCCTTAAACAGCTACAACCGCCCTAATGATCATCCTAAAATGGTCTACAGGAAGATAATCTAATGATCCTAATTAAAAGAAATAAAATGAGGATTATATCTCTCATGAAAAGATACAAGTACTCAAAAAGTTGATTGGTTAAGGAACTGCTAGCTGACCAGCTTCCAACCGACTAAGGGGTTGGAGACCGAAGGCCGGTACGATGACCAAAGATCCACCCAAGCCAACAAAAAGACACACCTGCACGCCAAAGACTGAACAAAGGCCTTGTAACCCCAGCAATCTCACTACTTCCAACGTGAGGCTCTCACAATAACTCTCCCTCAAATTCCTTGAAAAACTATAGAAATAACCAAGGAATAAGCAGAACAACTAGCCATTCTAAGGCTCACTGGGCATCCTAGGGCAGACTAGCTCCCTCTATCAAAGACGATCGAATTCCCAGAGCGAAGGCCAACTGGAAACAAGAAAAATAGTTGATCTACACCAACTTGGTCTACTGACTTGAGAACATCCTGAGCAGAAGGTCCAAGTACATCAAAGGATGCCAAAGTCAATTACGATTAGGAAAAGGTACGACAAAAAACATTAATGTCATGTAACACCACTAATAAAATTAGGGCAAATATGTAATATTCTACATTTTGCCCTCTATCTTTCTAAAAATTGGGGGTTCATAGCATGTATTAGGGTGGTGGGAATTTTTCCTCTTTTGACTTCTCTCTAAACCCACTCTTGTAATGAGAACTCCCTCCCCTTCAACTCTTTTGTAACCCCTAGTTACAAATCTCGTTCGCCACTATAGGCAAAGTTGTGTGTGCTCTCTCATTCTTTGTTTTTTTGGTCTCTCATCTTCTCTCTCAATGTTCCTACCGCTCCGATCATTGGGCATGTCTCACGTCGCAAATATGTATTCAACAATTAAACTATAATCTTTCATATAACATCAAAAATATTCCTACTTACCTTCCAAAAAATAAAACACATCTCTCTCTCTGCACTCTGCATTATATATATATA